ACTATCATATATTTAGTTTTCCCTTCATTTATCATTAGTCCCATATTTATCGCACTCCTCCGTGGTGGTTTTTATGTCCCCTTCATTTGATCCAAGTATCACTACATCATCAGCGTATGCTAGCAACGCATGCATTTGACCATTGAAACTGACACCTTTCGCTGTTTCTTGAACTTTCCTGACAACCTCCTTTAACGCAACGTTAAACAATATTGGTGACAAGGCATCTCCTTGTTTTAAACCTACTGTTGTCTCGAATTCTTCTGAGTAATTGTTTCCGAATTTAATTTTACATCTTGATTCTTCAATGCATGTTCTCACCATTTTTACTAATTTTGATGGTATACCGAACTTTTCCATGCTTTTCCATAATGGTTTTCTTTTGATAGAACCGTATGCCTGTTTAAAATCTATGAACAGTAGGTGTAATGGCTTATTGTACTCGTTTTTCTATTAGCTGTCTTAGTGTTAACACGTGGTCAATTGTGGATTTTCCTGGTTTAAAGCCGCATTGGTATTCACCTACTATTTCTTTCGTATACGGTTTGAGTCTATTTAAGATAACATTTGATAATATTTTATAAGCTGCATTAAGTAATGATATGCTTCTGTAATTGTGGCAGTCTTCTGGGTCCCCTTTTTTATATAAAGGGCATATTACTGCTACCTTCCATTCTTCTGGTATCTGTTCTTGTTGCTATATTTTCTTGATTAGTTCTCATATATCATTAACAATTAGTTCTCCTCACTTTTTTATGAGTTCGGCTGCTATCATGTCCTCACCCGGGGCTTTGTTATTCTTTAATAATTCTATTGCTTCTTTAATTTCATCTTTCCCCGGTATGCATTGATACTGTTCTACCGTTGTGAATATATCGTTATCCTGTCCTTGGTCTTCTATTTCAAGTTGGTTCAGGATTTCTTGGAAAAATCTTTTGAACTCTTCAGCAATGGCTTGTTCGTCTGTTACCAGTTCATTATACTCATTCTTTATTATTGAAGATTTTGGTTTATATGGTTTTCTTATTTCGTTAGCTTTTCTTAAAAATCTGTTAGAATCTTTGTAAGATTCTTCCATCTCTTCGATCCGTTGTTTTTCCCACTCTCTTTTTTCTCTTCTTATTACTTTTTTCATTTCTCTTTGTTTCTGGGCTAGTCTTCTTTTGTTTTCTATACTACTTTCCATAATCACCAACGATTTTGCCTTATCTCTTTCTTGTATTGTTTTTTCACAGTTTTCATTGAACCATTGTTTGGTCTTTTGTTGTTCACTATACCAATTTTTTCTTCTGTTACCCCTTTTATCGTTTTACTTAATTGTGTCCAATGTTCTTGATAGTTTAGGTTTAAGTTGTTAACCTTTTTTTCTTTTAGTCCTTTTCTGTATTCATTAGCTATCTGTTCCTCTTTTAATTTGTCTAATTCGAACTTTCGGGAAGTTTTTCTTTTTTGATTCCATTTGATGGGTAGTTTTATATGTAGTTTTACCTTGACTAGGAAATGGTCTGAGTGGCCACTCATCCTCCCCCTGTAGCTTCTTACATCTTGTATGCTATGTTTGAGTTGTTCGTCGACCACGACATGGTCTATCTGGTTTTTTGTATGCCCATCAGGTGATATCCATGTTTGTTTATGTATTTCTTTGTGGGGGAAATGCGAGCTACTGATAGTCATATTTTTAGACATTGCAAATGAGATAAGTTTGTTTCCATTATCGTTGGATATTTCATGTAAGCTGTGATTCCCAATTGTAGGTTTGAAAATTTGTTCTTTACCGATTTTTGCGTTAAGGTCTCCTATTGTAATCTTTCTGGTCCTATGAGGAATACTATCATAAACTATTTCTAGTTGATTGTAGAACTCTTCCTTAGATTGATCCTCTTTATTCTCGGTTGGGGCATGACAGTTTATTACTGCGATGTATCCCCATTTACATTCCAACTGTATTGTACAAATTCTTTCGTTATGTGGTATAAAGTTTTTAACGAATGGTAATATACTGTTGTTTACTATAAACCCAACACCATATTCATGGCTTTGGCCACAACTATAGAGAATGGTCGCATCACGAAGTTTGATATTTCCTACATTCGTCCATCTGATCTCTTGTATGGCTACTATTCCGCACAGATATCTCTGTAATGCGGATATTACTGTCGTCATTGCTCCTGCTGCGTACATCGTACGTACATTCCATGTTCTTAGACTAAACTTTTGCAATTTATTTTTCATCCGAGGCTTTGCTGTGTTTTGTTTCTGAACCAGGTTGTTTTTTATGAGTTGGGTGGTTAGCCCTACGTCAACCCCCATTAATGGAGGGCCCAAGTTTTGAAAGGTTTCCCTTTTCGCCTTATTAGGTACCTACTGTATCTAACAAGGGGCTATTGTGGCGTCGTTTACTACACCGGGCAATGGGAGCGCCACTTTCCCCAAGCCATTACCTACTGGAATCGTCTTCCTGAGACTTTCCACCAGTAGGAGCTCGGGACCCCGGGTTCGCTATACCCGTAGTACTAATTACTTAGTACCCCCTGGGGTTAATTCTCCTTTTAAACAATTTATTTTTATTAAACTTATTTCACTCCCAGTATCTACTAATAATTTTAGGCGAGCTGCACACTGAAGAAACTTGTTTTAAAAAACTAATTTCATGAAATGTGAAACTTTAATTTCATGAAACCATTCAATTGAAAATCAAATAGTTATTTATAATATTTATCAAAAAGTTTATCATGGTTTACGGTATCGAAAGCTTTGGCAATATCTAAATAAATTGTTGCACATTTTTTATTTTCTTCAAGTGTAGTGTAGATAAATTTAGTCACATGAGCAATTGCTTGGTCAGTACTTTTATTAGGTCTAAAACCAAACTGATTTTTAAAAAGTATATTAATCTTGTTTTTATGATTTATTCAAATATTTTAGCTATGTTTGATATAACCGATATAGGTCGAAAATTATTAATATAAGACATAAGGCCTTTTTTATGTATAGGTGTTATTAAAGCTACTTTGAATGCATCTGGTATTTTATTTTTGGATATACATAGGTTAAATATGTGACATAATGGTTTACATAATATTATTTTATATTTTTTTAATAAGTCGGAAGATATCTTGTCGATACCGGGAGATGAACCATTTTTTAGTTTAGAAATGGCTTCCATGATATCATTAGTTGTAATAGGCTCAAATTTCTTTAAATATATATTATTTGATGATTGAATATTACTATGAGTATTGGAAGTAGTAGGAATATTAGTATTATTGCGATTTTGTAGTTGTATTATTAGGTTAGAGGCTACGTTTATGAAATAGTTATTAAATTGATTTGCTAATGTATATGCTGGTTCATATTTATCAAGTACGGTTTTAATATTTATGTTAGTAATTCTTTGAAGTTATTTGTGTTGCTCTTTCTTGTTGTAATATCGTTAGTTATTTTCCATTAAAGTTTTGTGTTATTACCGGATATCTAGTTCTTTTTTGTAATATATGATTTTAGCTTCTTTGATAATATTTGTTAATTTATTCCTAAATTTAAGGTAAAACTCTTTTAATTTTATATTATGATGATGTTTTCTGACTTGTAGGTGTAGGCGATCCCTATGTCTTATGGAGTTAATTATAGCGGTGCTAGACCAGGGTTTTAATTTTTTGGTTTTAGAGGAAAATGATATTTCAGGTGAGGCTTTGTTTTTTAAATTATTTATTGTTTCCGTAAAATATTGAATTGAGTTCTCAACATAGTTTCTCTACAGCGGTACGGGTGCGTTATCGGCGGCACGTGTCTAATGTGTCGCGGTCCGGAGACTCGTCCGTATCGCGGTTCCGAAGTCGTTTCGCGGACCGGTAATTAGTTGACGGCAGCGCGATTACGGCGGCACGATGTGTTATTTCGGTAAAGATACGTTCGATGTGTACGCGATACACGCGTGCGGGTCGGCGGGTCGCGGTGTATTAGGGGACGTTAAATTTTAATCGTACTTCCTAATATTACTGTTTATGTCACGACCGGTTTTTCGCGCTTGCGTGCTATGATATCTCCACTGCTTGTAGGGGACTCGGCGCGTGTCAGCGATATAGACGAATATAGTGTCCGGGTTTTCCCTACCTCGCTATACCTCGTGATATTTTCCTATTTTTACGTAAAGAAAATGAAGCAAAGCGGGATTTACAAGCTAGCGAAAAGTATCTTACCTTGCCTTGTCACGTTATTGACCAGGAGGAATTCCTTTGCGGGGAGTCAATTTTGTCGTCGTCCGAGATGTCACGGCACGACGCACGGTTCAATGATTATAATGATTATAATAATAAAAAAAAAAAAAACACAGTGATGAAGTGTGGTATGGCTGATGGGCCGTGTATTAGATGAAAACCGAATAATACGGTAAGCAAAAAAAAACAATGTTAGGACAAAAAAAATATGGTGGTGTATAAACGTAAAAAGCAAAAAAAAATGTGTACATTCGCGCTCACGGTGTTCGAAGAACAACCCAAACGGACCGGTTAGATAGTATTCCGTGCGGGCGTCGTCACGAAAGTTCGCGTCCCCTGACAATTGATGGATGGAGGGACGGGGTGTCGCGGCGGCATTGCGTGCCGCGGTCTGGTGGTTGATGAGAAAGACATAGGCACGGTCGGCGACAGACGTTTCGATAACGGCTGCCGCACGGGTCCGCGTCAAACTGTAATCCGTTAAACTCTTCAAGTTAATATAAGTACTCACTAATTATTTTTACTATTTATACAATAAATGGTCTCTTATAAATTTCCCTCTAAACTCATTCCTTTTTATACAAATGTATTACCTTTATAAATTATTATCCACTAATATAAATTTTATTTGTTATATACATAATATATTGTTAGTCTTACCAAAATTTATAGTTTGTATTTTAATCTTAAATTATAAAATATTTTTTTTTTTTTTTATTAATAAAATTTATTTACAATCTATATTTAATAAAATACAATAAGTAAATTTGAGTAATAGAATTTTTGATATGAGTTCACATGATAAGAGAAAATATCCATTGATATTACTTTTCAGTTAATACTAGGTATAACGGAAAACGTAATACATTAAGAGTAATGAAAAAAAAAAAAAATAAAAAAAATAAAAGTAATACTAGGTAATAATCAGAGTTCAAGTTTATAAACCGATGTTGGACCTTAGGATAAGAGGTCTCTGGACCATTTTCTTTTTAATCTACGAGTTGTATCGGGTAGCTCGATAGTGGATAGATTGGCGATGAGAGGGTTTGGGTGGTGATGTAGTTTCATGTGAAATCGTTTATATAATTTTGAGGCTTGGTCGGAGATGAGTGATATGTTAAGGTCATTATGGAGAGTTAAATTTACATACCAGGGGGCATTGGTTATTATTCTGAGAGATATTGATTGGAATGCTTATAGATTTTTTAAGTTGGAATTTTTGGCAGCTCCCCAAAAGTGGTTTCCATAAGTAGCTATAGGATTGAGGAGAAGTTTGTAAATTAGTATTTTTTT